TTACTTGATCTTTGATGCTGGAATTAAAGCATTAGTTTGGATAATGGCTAGTTTGTAAGGATAAAATTATTATCCAGTCAAAGAACATGAAGAGAGTTTACATCTCATTTATACATGTAGTGTTCCCAGAAATTATTGAGAATATATTTTTTTTTTATACTTTTATCTAAAAGTTTGGATTAATCACATAGAATATAAGAACTGCGAACGATAGTATTGTTCTGCCGCCTACCTCCAAGTCATTTATCAAAAGTTAACATATTTGATTTTTTTTTCATATTTATGGAGATATCTGTACTTATAAATTAATAAATTTTGCAAATAAACTCCAAAACTTTTGGAACAGAGTTCATGTTTACTCCTCTGATATTACACTAGGTATGAGATGATGTCTGTAAACTATATTGAGATTTCACTTGCATAGTAATTATCTAAAATTGAATTAAAAGTCTTCCTTCATTTTCGATAAACAGCAGTGAAATAGCAAAAAAGGAGTAAGGTGGCGTTTCCGGTTGGCGGATCCAAGTTAGTGACAATTTTTTATGAAACAGACAACAAGCAACTGTTTAATTATTTGATAAAACGTTATTAATGAATTTTTCAATTAACACTTGATTTACGTTATATAAAAGAAATAAGTTTTGATTACTGATTAAAAAATAAAATGTGTATATCGTTTCAGTTTATATCCGATCTGAGTCTTGATAGAAATTTCTAGAACGTCAGATGGCATCGAACCCAATATTAAAAAAGAAAAACGAGGCGTTTTATGTCAAAGAATAATATTGAAAAAAAAAATATGTGAATGGGCAGGGAAATAATGGTAAAGCAATTGCATATCACTATGAGTCATGAAAATGTTTATATATCGAAGAGCTTTTCGTACATGTAAGTAGTGCTAATAAATCTAGCATTAAAATTTGCATATTCGCCACAGCATTATGGCAACGAACTTGATGTACAATAGGGACATAGTAAACTTGCTGAAGAGAAAATATCAATAAATATGGTACTGTTCAAAAATATGAAGTAAAGGTGATTTATCCTTAATTTACTTAAGCTGTTAAAAATATATTTATTCTTTAATCAATATATTTTAGGATTTTTTCAATTACATGCAGATGCAGTCTTTAGTATATTTTTTTTCTTTGATGGAAAGGAAACGGAGAACTCGAAGTTTAATTTATATAAAAACAGTATGACAAATATCAAAATATAAAGATGTCAACATGAAAATAGAAATTGTCATTTAATGAAATTGATATTTTAAAAGTTAAAATAAGAAAAGAAGGGGGTGTATATCTTACCCAATTCTGCTCCTAAACTTATTGGGGGATTTTGTACAAAGTATTTCTTCCTGCTATAAACCTATAATTAACTGTCAGTACAAAGTATTGAGATACATGTATATTATTCGAATTTATCAGTCAGGGGAAAAAATCAATTCCCTGCGCTTGCGCGGGATTTCATCTAGTTTATGTAGATTTCAAAAAGCATAAATGGTTTGGAATAGCAAAGAGGGATAACTCTATAATTTTGGTAAAACGTGTTTTTCACTATAGAAATCAACGAAAAACGGAAAATATTTATAAAACATCCCCACCCCCCTTGAAACAAAATAAAATCCTTTTTACAGGTATTATGGAGTGTTGTTTCACAAAATTCATACCAAAGCTTTTTTGTGTTTCACGGGGGGGGGGGGGGGGGGGGGGGGTCATACATTTATAGACAAAAACAGCAAAAATGCACTTTTTTACCGATTTCAAATGACATGACAAATTTTTAAAAATGCATTTTATTAATCTTATACATTAAATTTTACACAAGTTTAACATACGGAGAGATTTAGGGGTCATTTATCAATTTCCATGCATATCTAAAAATTTGGCGATGTTTTAAGGCCTGATTTCAATGGATAATTTTTTTTATCCCCTTATGAAAAGAGTTGTAAAAAAAGCAGTAACTTTTTGACGCTGGTTTTAAATTAATAAATTAATTATTAATGAAGTATTCTTTGTATTCAAATAAGTTTTAATGGTTAAAATGCAAGATGAGTTTAAAATGTAGACGGGAATCGAGAGTTAGCGTTCGTATTTCTTTAACATTACTATTTTTATTTAATGACACTACCCCTACCTTCTAATGATACATGCAGTTTTCATTGATAACCTCCCATTTATTTTATATACTTCCTGTTGTCTGCTGTTGCTTCAAAAACAGACAGCCTTTTGAGCTACGTATTGGTAAGGGATTGTTAAATCTGGTGATTTTTCTGAAAAAACAAAACAAAAGAAAACAGACTATTTCACCGTCTACTTTGTATTGTGTGGTGAAAAAAAAAATAAAAAAGAAGAAGAATTCAGTTAAGGAAAAAAAGTTTGTAGGCCTAGTAAACTAACATTCACATGTCAAAGAAGGCTTGGATATTTGCTCAGAAAAAGCAACGCGAAGTGTAGAAATCGAGTTTTATTCCTAGCCCTACCAACTCTTTCTCTCTGCCAAATTCCTTTCCATTTTTCAATATTTTGCCCCATGTGAATCAATAGTAGACAGTGGAATCCTCAGTGTTTCAATTTTTGTAATTCTTTGATAATAAATATCTATAACAGGCTTTCTTTTTCAAAAACACTTATTTTGAACATTAGGAAACTACCGGAAGTATAAAAAGAAAATGGCAAGTCATGAAAACTGCATGTAAAAAAAGTAATAAATATTGTCATTTGATGAAAAACTTATTTCAAACTACAAATATTTCATCTTTAAAATATTTTGAAACGAAAAAATTCTCAATAATTTCTAGAAGACTATATACATGTGTATATACATTCTGATTATACATGTAGGAAAACACATGCAGTTGATGATAAACTACTCATTTTTTTTTAAAGCGTTAATATCATATATGCACATGGATGGCATGCTTGTAGTTACAAATCATTTGATGTAGAATGTAATCGGAAACAATTTTATGCCATTGACAAATCATACATGTAATACATTATTGCTCACATTATGCAGGGGTTTAAATGCTTAAGAATGTAAAAGCATAAATCTTTTTACATGTTGTTCGTGTATGTTGTGTTATTAGTTTGAATATGCTATGATTTTTGTGTGCATGATAGGAATATTATGTATGCATTTTCAAGAACGCAATGATTCCGGTGAAATGTATATTTATTTTACGTATTTATGTCTGTATGTAAAACAACAATAATAATGACCCAGAGAATTTTTTATCAAGGTATCTGAAACTGGCCAAGAAAAATGTAATATTAACTAACATTAATGACCCGTATTTATTAAAAACTCTCTCTATACCACACTAGGGTTCTGATTTTGTGGTATTCTTATGTAGTCAGAGTAATCTGCCCTTAGATCATTAGAACTGTGAATATTACTCAATTTGTAGTCAATTCAAGGATTCTTAATATTTTAATATGTCATGATAAATCAATAATTGAACACTTAAGTGTTCAATTAAAATTTTCATGTATTTTCTCCACTTAGTTTGAATTTAACATTTTTCATGGGGGTAAATGCCAGGTAACCTACGTTGAAAATGAAAAGGATAATATTTACATCTTTAATTTATAAAATATTATTTTTTCATTGTTCATAAAACATTTGTTTCAGTGTATAGATGGGTCCTTAAATCATCAAGAAACAAAAATAGAGCTTTTATGTGCCTTTTATGTACAATTATACAAATGTAAGTTGCACATAACGCCCATTTCTTTGTTACAAATGAAAAGCATAAGCCAATGTAGAACATCTAGAAAGGACCAAATTGACAATTTTGAGTTGTCTGAAATATTTCTTCCTGCAAAATAAAGACTCTAATTTAGAAAGTTTTATTGCTCTTTCTACAAAAGGGTGTATTCAAATTTTAAAAAAAATTGACCTACAGGAGAGAACAATTTTCCGAAAAAGTAACATGTCAGAATCAAAGTCCATTGGTTACTTTCTATTATATATGTTTAAAAAAATTCAAAGAAGATGGGTGAACAAGGCGTGCAGAATGCCTATAGCTTCAGATATTAAAAAAATCGTATTCAATTTGTGAATTATAAGTATTTAAAATATAGTTATCGTTATTGAAATTTATGAAATTATGGTCAACAAAACTTTTCTGAGAAAAAAAAATCTCGGAAAAAATTATTCTTTTATCAAAAAAATAAAATGGTATTCGTGGGATTCGAACCCCCCTAACAATAAAAATCCGGAGTATCATATTGCTTTGAGACTAACACGCTAACCACAACGCCACGCAGCTCCTGGTGAATAGTGGCATTTAAATCATGTTTGTGATATGACCCTTGACTTAATGGACTTCAAGTATTTCTCGGAAAGATGTGAATGCTTTGTCATAAAAGTGTACTTTTGAGGTATAGTGGGTCTTAGCTCCATGTTTTTGTAAACCAAAAAATGTATATTTTTATGCAAACTTTTAGGATCAACTTTCAAAAAAATGGAGCGAAGACCCACTCATATCGAAAAATTTTGTTGAAGTGTGAGAAAATGATCGTTTTTGTCCTCTTTAGTGTGTGTATGCTATTTTGTAGGCAAATAATTTCAGTCTTTGTGAGATTTTTGTAAGTTGTAGAGATTTAACATAAAATATACTTTAATGTTAGATGAAATATCAAAGAAAATTTTTATATAATTGAGATTTTATTTTTCACTTCATGTTTGTCGCACTATAGGCACTTCGCCCGCCTTGTTCACCCATCTTCTTTGCATTTTGATTTTTTGAACCTAAAATTTATTATTTGCAATTTTAAAAATTAATCCTCAAAGATGGCTAAAACAGCATTTTCCATGTTTAAGCACTGGTTTTGCATAAATTTTGGCCTAGAAGTTCTTCGGGACAGGCCCGCCCCTAAATAAAATTATATTTTTTAAATAGGATTTGAACTAAGGAATGGTTTAAAATAGGATTTTTTAGGGGCACCCCAGCCCTACGCTTGAAATTCACACAAAAAAATAAGGAAACTTGGTAATACATGTATATTCTACTTTTAATAGTCAGAATTCCTCAAATGGTTAAACCACTGACTCTTCATAAAACAGTTACATGTACTTTTTGGAGTCGTGGTTCAAATCCACCTTGCACCACACTTTTAGTTTTAAATTCTTGCCTTTTCAAACACAATTTTAATCTTTTTAATAGGAATTTTCCTTCAATTATCAATCTTTAATTCAAGTTCATTCTTGATATTAGAGAAGGCAAATCATAATTTAATTCTATGTAATAAAAATGCAGGCATGTACAGGCACATTTAACACCAATGTAGTCAAGCTTTCTGGCACAAAAGATTAATGAAACTTACAAACTCTGCATTTTTTCCCAACAATAAAAATTATGTGAATTATATTGCATCAGTATTGTTACAAATGTAAACTTTGCTACAAATGATTCCTAAGCATTTTTTCCACAATATTTAAGTAGTAGATAAAGTCCTGCTTACAGAGCATATCAACTGATATCTGTTATTTCACAATCTTCTGTAATCAATTTCCAGACTCTTGTTTGATTCAATTTTTTTCATTTGAATTCACGTCAATATTTCTCAAAATAAATAATTTCTTTCGAGTAATATCCACCCGACAAGAATGAAAAAAGATCAACTGTATATCACAAGACATTAACATTAGCAATCATTCATTCTCAGGTGATCACAAACAATGAGAATGTTTTGTCACCGATTGTCTTCCCCATTAGTAAAGTCCTTGTCTTCCCCATTAATGTCTTTAGAGCCTGTGAGCTGTTTATCTGATTCTTTACTTCCTCCATCTTCTTCCTCCTTCTTTCCATCTTCTTCCTCATCACTATCCTCATCTTCCTCCTCACTCTTGTTTTCCTCTGTAAGTGAAATCAAATTACCTTACAATGACATGTACGTACCATGTATTTTTCCATATTTTTTGACTGATGAACAATTTATTATTTGAAGATATTTGTGATATTCAAAACTTCAAAATATATACTATTATAAAACTACAAAATATATATAGGATCTCCCATGATTTGTAGTTGGATATGATTTTTATCCAACGAGTTGTGTGTTTTTTATCCCCGAGCCTTGGCGAGGGGATAAAAACACACAACGAGTTGGATAAAAGTCATATCCAACTACAAATCATGGGAGATTCTCTTTATCCCATGTTTAATACTTCACAACCAATGTTTTACACTGTTTTATATAGGACTCCACTTTATTTTACTTCATCGCGCTAACACAAAAACCACTGTGACTTCACAACTGTGGATTATGAAGAAATTATCCAATGAGTCATATCCACAGGATAAAGGGGTAAACATGGGATAAATACTATTATAATGTCAAAGGAGCTAGGGGAAAAACTAAGTCTCAACCAGAACTTGAACCCAGGGCCTCTGTCAGTGCTTTAACTACTGAGCTATTGAGGCCTGATATGTTGATTGACTCTCCTATGACATAAGTTTGGGTTGGTACCTTTAGGGGCAAAGGCCTTTAAGGAGGGTACAATGTTGTGGTTAGTTGGTTCTATTGCCATTCGCCAGAGAGCTAAGTTGGTAGAGCTAGGAATCTAATCATAGTCTGGTATATATGGTCAGGATTTCAACTCGGGCCCCCTGAATAGTTAGTTGTGCACCAAATGTCACAGGTATTGTAAAATCAAGTCTCAAGTGGGACTCAAACCCAGGGCCTTAGAAGTACCATGTAAGCGCTCTAACTACTGGGCTATTGTGACCCAATATGTTGACTGACTCACACAATTGTTAACCCGGGGACAAAAGGTCTTTGTCATACAATGTATAAGTAATATTTAATTTTCAAGTATGTTATACCTGTTATTCCATTTAAAGATAGGTAACAATAAGTATGTCAACCAGAATAATATAACAACTCCCATGTACCTTTCTCTCCAGTAGCTCTGCTCTTCTTTGCTTTCTGTCTCTGTTTCTTTTTATTTCTGGAATAAAATGTACTTATCATGTTAGTAAAATATAATTTCTTCTGAAGAATTTATTTACTAGACAGATATTGTAAGTTTAAAAGGACAATTTTTTTTTATATTGTTAAATCATATACATTATGTATACAGTCAAACCTTGTTATCTCGAACTCAATGGGACTGAGAAAAAACTTCAAGATATCTGAGGGCTTGAGATATCGAGGGTAAAATACCTAAGGAATACGTGGTTAGGACTTTCAAATGAATTCGACATATCCATGGTATTCGAGATATTCGTGTTTGAGATACCGAATTTCAACTGTATCTACTAAATGTTAAATTTACATCTAGTAAAATACATTTATATGTCAATGTAACAAAAACATGATTTCTCATGATATATTATTTGAGAAAACAGACTTAAAAATAACTTTTAAAATATGAATTTGTAAAATATTTTTAACATGTGTTAAATTCTTTATATTTACAGTCAGTGTAATTTTCTTTATGAAATCCATTAGAAATCTACGATGTTCAAATCTCTATAACACATGCGAAACCTTGTCACCGCACTGTAGAGTACACAGAAGGAACTATATGCATTTTCAATATCTATATGGAACACCAAAATGTATATAGTTTTGACTCAATTAAATTAAAAAAAAAACAACTACCCTGTTAAATTAACCTAAAATACAACAACTGTGCATTTAAAATTAATTTGTCTTTTTTTTTCTCGCAATGTTCATTTGCATTATTTAACTTCACAAACGGCTCTGACATCTATTAAGCACACCAGTTCTGAAAGGCGCTAAATTCATAATAAAGATTAACGAAATAAACAATTATGAAGAAAGAAAATTAGAAGATGTAAATGTAAGCATTGAATTCTTATTTTGAATGTCGTCGGTCCTATAACACTGAATTATTTGACTGAATTTTAAGTCCATAAATAGTTATCCAATACTGGAACAATTTTTTTACAAGTTTGCTAGCTTCTTCAGAAACACTCAATTTAATCGATCTCCGCTTTTATAAATTTATTCAAGCTTCCATGGTTAAGAATTTTAAACAGCCTCTCAAAACATTTTTTTATTCAATGTTTTGATATTCTGTTGTATACTTGGTTCATTATTTCACACAAACTAAAAATAAACATTTTTATTGGATTTGCAGATTAAGATCCTCAACAATACAATGTCACTTTATCCTATTCATATCAAATCTTTAAAGGTCTAGTAAATGAAAGGAGCCTACAGATTTCTCAAACCTGAAAAATGAATTTCTTTAATAACGCTGAATTTCCATATCTTGGTTAAAAAGGTATATCCGGGCATAATTTTTCAGTAAACACAACAAAATTAATTTAAACTGACATTTTCAATGAAAAAAGAAGAAAATCAGCTATGAATTTGTGAGGGTTTTTTTTTTCATATAAAACACATGATATGTATCCAGATTGCCTACAGACTTCCAGAAAATGGTAATTTGTATAACTTTTCACATGGTTTCAAACTGAATGCAGTGAAAATACTTCATTGTCTACATAATTAAATGATAACTGTAAAGTATGGGAAAATTTAAGTTTGAATTAATTATGACATCTTCAAGTTACAAATGTAATTAAAAGATCTGTTAAATGAGTTCACACAGCCTTTTGGTGCCAGATCCTTGATGATGTCATAATTAATTCATTGCAATGCATTACCATTACATTTAGCATTGCCTCAAGCCTGTTATCAACCATATATCATTTCATCAGATTCCTTCATGTCAAATATATATCTTGACATTATATGAGCATGTACGTTATAGGTCGTATCTTGTCATCTTTTACTCACCTTTTTGCCCTCTTCTTAGCTGTCCTTTCGTCTGCTGCTTTTTGATTTTCCTCTACCTTTTTGTGAAATTCTGCATCCTTTTCCATCTGCAAAATACTTCCATGTTACCATTTGAAAGTACAATGTAATTCATTGGCAAGACTCGTGAATATATGTCAAAGTCAATAAAAGTTCGTCCTGGCATTAACACACCTGTAGTATAAATAAACTGGTGTTACCTATCTGTCATACCTACCCTTTCTGCCTTCTCGTTGATGAACTTCTGCCTAGCGTACTCTCTCCGCCTGACTCCTCTGTAAACATGGAAATCCCCACTGCCAGCCCCTGCACTGGATCCTAAAAATAAGAATTGTACCTTTTAAATCAACCTAACTCTTTAATTCCATTGTTTTGTAGATATAGCAGTGTAATTAACAACAGTATGAGACTATAGAAATGCCAAGCAGTCTCTTTTGATACATGAGAAGAACAGAAAAGTTGTCCCATAGCTTCAGTATTATAATATGCTTATTTATCCTTCTACAACACATCAATTCAAAACAGATAACTTGCAAAAAACCTCTTTCAGACACATTTTAAAGCAAATGTAGTGAAAATTACAGTTGTATTTGTATTGTTCAAAGTTTTAATGGCTTGAAATCTTAAAAGAGAAATAGAGCACAGTACAGGTACATGTAAAAATAAACCCCATTTGAAGTATACAAATTCTTCTGGGAGACATGCAGGCAAAAACCATACAAATGATGTGAGGACAGCAGAAATGTATCATTTGAATTTGAAAGTTATATCAATTATAAGTCATGATTAGGAAAGGTTTTATATAAAGTTTCTCATTCAATATTAAAGAATAATCTTACCCCAAACATTCCTGATGAATTCATGGGGTGCTCTGGGTTCTTTCTCTTTCGATTTTTCAGGTATGAATGCTTCTTTATTCTTCATGAAAAATGTACAAGAAAATAAAAAAAATATAAGAATAACAGACAGTCTTAAATACTTGGCAAATCAAACATATAAGCTTCATAAAACAAGAGGCCCATGGGCCACAACGCTCACCTGAGTTATTTTGGCCATGCTGTTCTTCACCAGACCCCCCCCCCCTTGTAATACTTACTGCGGCCCTGCCGTACCCCTGGGGGCCATGATTTGAACAATTTAGAATCTACACTACCCAAGGATGCTTCCACATAAGTTTCAGCTTTTCTGGCCCCGTGGTTCTTGAGAAGAAGATTTTTAAAGATTTTACCTATAATTACAATGTAAAACTTTGATTCCCTATTGTGGCCCCGCCCTACCTCTGGGGGCCATGATTTGAACAATTTAGAATCTACACTACCCAAGGATGCTTTCACATAAGTTTCAGCTTTTCTGGCCCAGTGGTTCTTGAGAAGAAGATTTTTAAAGATTTTTTCCACATATTTCAATGTAAAACTTAGATTCCCTATTGTGGCCCCACCCTATCCCCGGAGGCGATGCTTTGAACAATTTAGAATCTACACTACCCAAGGATGCTTCCACATAAGTTTCAGCTTTTCTGGCCCAGTGGTTCTTGAGAAGAAGATTTTTAAAGATTTTGCCTATATATTTCAATGTAAAACTTTGATTCCCTATTGTGGCCCCGTCCTTCCCCCGGGGCCATGATTTTAACAATTTAGAATCTATACTACCCCAGGAAGAAGATTTTTTAAAGACCCCACCCTATTTTTGTCTTTTCTTGATTATCTCCCCTTGTAAGGGGGTTGGCCCTTCATTTTAACAATTCATACCCCCCTTGACCCAAGGATGCTCTGTACTAACTTTGGTTAAAATTGGCTCAGTGGTTCTTGAGAAGAAGTTGAAAATGTGAAAAGTTTACAGACGGACAGACAGACAGACAGCTAGACAGACAGACGGATGGACGATGGACAACAGGTGATCAGAAAAGCTCACTTGAGCTTTCAGCTCAGGTGAGCTAAAAAAGAACACTGTACGTAAAAACTGAATACAATAAGATGTGTATGTGAAACACTGATGCATCTGTATGGCAGCTCAAGGCTAAAGTTTTTCAAATGTAGGTCAAACTCCAAGGTCAAGAGGTAAGAAATATCTGAACCCAAGAAAAGGCCCAGTCACAAGGAATGTGTACATGAAATATGAAAACCCTAGCACCAACCATTCAGAAAATAAGGCCAAGGTTAAAGTTTTTTAAGTATGTTATATTCCAAGGTTAGGTCATGAGGTCAAATACCTGCAAAGAAATGGTCTTGTCACAGGGAATATAACAGTGAAATATGAAAGCCCTAGCATCAATCATTTAAAATTAATAGGCAACGTCAGATCTGGGCAAGGTTAAAGGTTTGTTTGTTTTTTTTTCAAATTTAGGTCAAACTCAAAGGTTAAGGTCATGAAGTAAAAAATGTTGGTTCCCAAAGAAAGGTCTTGCCATAAGGAATACATGTGTGATATATGAAAGCCCTTACTTTAGTGTATGGTTTTGATGTGTGCTTCTTGAATTTCAGCCAGAACTGTTGTAATTTATCCAGTCAGAAAGGTTCTAACAAGACTTTCTCAACTGAATGAAATAACAAAGAAAACCAGTTCTGGTTAACATGAGCACAATGAGAAGCAATCATACTTATCCATGCCTCACCGCACACAAGGTGGTGTAGAGTTACTAAAACGATGGAAATACATCTTTTCCTTAAAAGTGTTCAAATGCAGCAATGTTAAAACTATCTTTGCATTGGATTGGTTTTTAAATAATCCCTAGTATAAATATTAGTAGTCATTTATTTGCAATTTTTTTGTCTTTTTAAAATAAAAGGAAAAATTGTCAAAATTTGCCTTAAAATAGCTAAATAAAGCTACCTGAGGTAGGTAAATAAAGCTATGGTAAGTAATTTTAGCTACGTAGCTAAATGTACTGATTGTACTGGACTGGACAAAGATAACATTTCTCTCAGCTTGAAACACAGGCACTTCTTTCGTATATGGGGCACCCCTACTTATCTTTACCACAAGGTACCTAACTCAATTTCAGGCACCCCCGCTTCAAGCTTGTATTTTACTCATATATCAATCATTAACCTACTTTAGAATTATATCGTTCGCTTCTCGAGACTTTTTTCTTGTCAAATAAATCCTTTCAGGCGTCTCTGGTCGAGCCTCTTTATTGTAAACCACTCATTTATTCCTCGAAAATTACCTCGATACATATTAAAATTTAAGACTTTAGATAGGATACAAATTTCCGGTTGGGGTTATGAACAAAATACAAGCTTGAAGCAGGGGTCCTGAAATTGAGTTAGGTACCTTGTGGTAAAAATAAGTTGGGGTGCCCCGTATATGAAACAAGTGCCTGTGGCTTGAAATGGGAAGCAGCAAGCTAGATACTCTGATGTTAGTCGTAACTTGTAAGATCTTACTCTCGGAGTTTCATTTTTTAAAGATTATTCAAACGCTAGCAACTAAAACAATTCTTGCTTTTCTTTCAAAAGTATGTTTTTCTTACTCTGGAAGCTCGCCATCATCATGTTGGTTTACTAAAATTGTATATTTACTTGCATTTAAGAGTCGAAAGCCAACAAGAAAGTTATACCGGGTTTTTCATCAACTTTTCGAGCTTTAATCTCTGGAGATCTGTTGCACCTTTCAACACTTTGACTGATTTATTTTCATCGCAGTTTGGTTTTTCTAACTTCGACTCCATTTTGCTTTTCTTTGATAAACCGTTCCTAGTTGTGTCGAATTGTATACCGTGAGATAAGCTGTACGTCAAATGTCATGTCGGTTGACATACGTTTTTTAAAAGTTTTTATGTTCCGCCATTAATATATTATATGGCCGGGCTATATCGTGTTTGTCATGTCAGTCTTCCATACGTCCTTAATCAGGTCTGGGCGGCCTCTGTTTTTGGAGGATAGCTAAATTCAATATGGCGGCCAAAAGTTTTACCATATATGGAAACCGCGTTGCATTGTGGGATAGTTTATCCTCCGATTTCAGAGGATAACACAGGTAATTTTCAAACACCTCGTGCCTACCTTTAATCAAAAAGTGCAAGCACCAGAGTACATGTAAATAAAAGTTCAAACATTAAACTATCGATTGTATGTGGCGATTTGAGATTCTATGTCTAGATATTTTGCAATTTATTTTCAAAGTTAGCACTTTTGGCGCTCCATTATTATTGAATATTTCTTGTTATTTTGTTTTATTTTTTAGGATTTTTCCCTATTTAGACAAATAAAAAAGGACTTTATATTTCTTTTATATTTTCTTTTAATTCAAAAAAAGGAAACGCAAAAGAAAACGCATTTTAAGCATATTTAAAACGCAAAATATACTCTGCCTAATAATTTAAGCAAATAAAAGTATAAATGGATTGAATGAATAATTATATAAATAATTTGAATAGCATAAGTAAAAAAAATTAATAATTTAACATGTTTACTAAGAAATTAACATATATTCATACAGCCATGTGTATACATAAACAAATAAAATATTATAAAGTGATGTGCTTAATAATTATTAAATGAAAGAAATAATGAATGATTAAAATTAATTTTTCAAAAAATTGTTTATCAAAATTTCTAAACTGCTTATCACATAATTACGGTACTGGAAAATCAGCGTGGTTATAATTAACCTCAGTCACATGCAGATAAGTGCAATATTTGTTTTCCAATCTGTGTACCGAATAAATGATTGACGGCAAATTACAAAAATATAGTTAATATATTGATTTAATATCTGGAATTATCCATCATCGTATGAAATTGTACCTTTTATTTGTTTTGATTTTGAAGTCAGTGTACGGTTCATAAATTCAAGAGTTGCTGTTATTTGTTTGGTTAAGAGTTAACTGCCCTTAGTTTTGAAAATCCCGGTAGGTGGCAAGACTGCTATCCTCTGTTTTCAGAGGATAAAATCTATCCTCCAAAAACAGAGGCCGCCTAGACTTGTTAATTTGTTCTTACACCCTTCCGCCACACTGCTTTTACAGAAATTACAGAAGCTCAGTCTAAAAAAATTCAGATATTTTATAAATCCTTGCGTGCTGATAGATATTGGTAAGAAATATCAACTTCATCAACTCTTTTGACCTTGACCTTCCCTTTGACCTTGACCTCACTTTTCTGAAATTTGTGTTTTAGCTAAGTCTCAAAGAAACTATATATTCAAGATATTTTTATCAAACTTCATATTTATGCTGATACTTATTGTTGAGAGCTGTTCAACTGCATCAAATTTTTTTTAGCTTGACATTTCCTTTGACCTTGATTGCACTTTAATTAAATTAATTATAATCTCAATTTCAAAGAAACTTCTAAGGATATTGTTATCAGTTTCAAAGAAACTATTCAAGATATTTTAATCAAACCTAATATGTCGATACATATTGGAGAGATCGAGCTATTCAACTGCCACTTAGTGACTGCATCAACATTTTTTTACCTTGATTTTTCCTTTGACCTTGACCTCACATTTCTTCAATTAGTGTTTAGCTCAGTCACAAAGAAACTCAGAAATTTGACTAAAAATTCAGACTTAAGTCTGAGATTTAACTTTTTTTTTTTGAGAAATCCAAGCCTGATCTTTTAATCAAACTTCATATGCAGAATTACTTATTGATGAGAGCAGTTTAACTGCATTGACAATTTTTTTACCTTCCCTTTGACCTTGACCTCACTTTCCCTAAAGAAGCATTAAACTCAGTCTCAAAGAAACACTTTCCTGAAATTTGTGTTTAGCTAAATTTCAAAGAAACTTTTCAAGATATTTTCATCTAATTTTATATGCTTCTACATAAGCTAATGTCTGCAACATTTCTTACCTCGACCTTTCCTTTTACCTGACTTCAAAGAAACTATTCAAGATATTATTATCAAATGCTGATGCATACTGATGAGGTAGATATCTACCGGTATTCAACTTCATCAACATTTTTTGACCTTCACCTTTCATTTGACCTCACTTTTCTCAAATTTGTGTTTATCTCAGTTTCAAATAAACTATTCAAGATATGTTTTATGTAAGCTTATGCACAGATACACCATTTGGTGGGAATTTATCAACTGTGTCCATTTCTTTTTTTTACCTTGACCTTCCCAATGACCTGTGACTTTACTATTTATTGTGTATAAAACTTAGTTTTAAAGAAACTATTCAAGATGTTTTCATCAAACTTCAGACACTAATACAATTCTTTATGTTGTTACTAATGCACCCTGAGTGGGGCATTCATGTCCTATATTTCTAGTTTTAAACATGTTTTCTATTCAAAACAAGTTGATTTATATAGATTAATATATCTTGATATATACAGTAGATAACAGTTTGTAAAACTTTTAATGAATATATCACTTGACATGTACATGGGTAATGTAACTTTATGATAAAATTGCTATGCCATAACAATATTCAAAAAATAAAACATAACATAGTACATGTACTGACATGGTTCTTATCAGATCCATTGTTTAAAAAAAAAAAAAGAACAGAAAGAAAGTGCACCACAACTTGACAAGATGCTATTATAAGAAACTGCTATAAATAATGCAACCAAATACTAACAGAAATAATATTACTGTAATTTTAAACTTTAATCAAGTTAAGTCTTCAAGACAATAAATTTTACTGAATATCTTGGGGGGGGGGGGGGCTCTACATAAGAATGTGCCACTGGAATAGATAACCTTTTTTCTGCTATAGATTTGGAAATCAGGTAAAATATATGACAAAGAATAATACTTGTGAAAGTAGTGGTACGAAAAAGCTCTAAATCCTTAAACAAAAAATAAGAGTTCTCCAAGTCAATGTCAGCCATCATTACCAGCTAGAGTTTAACAGACCTATCAATTTAATTCAATTATCCAATTACTACGTTTCTTTATCATGAATTCATTAAAAGTATAGTAAATATGGCAACATATATTTCCTCTGTGAAATTTGAACAGGTAATTACTCCCCTTGCTCATAAAATAAATTGAGAGGATTGAAATGTATGATAAGAGTGGTCACAGAATCTCAGTGGCACAAAATCCTTCTTAACCCCCGTCCTTCTCCCCAGCCTACTACCTACCTACCTACACATTTTTTTTTCTGTAGCTTGTTAAATTTAGTACAACATGGTGAGGTGGAGAAAATGAAAAATACTGTTTACTTGGCAAAAATGAGAATGTATTGTGAATAGGACATCAAATACACAGTCATGAAGACAATAATGCACTTAAAAAATAGTCATATTGTTGCTTGCACTCTTTAAATACCTATAAATATGTACACACGTGGAGAGGGCTTATATAGGCTATGCCTGCTGCCCAATCCATTTATGTTTCGGTACATAATAAAATATGTTCAAATCAGAAATACGTACACACTATCTAATGTAAATTCCAAACTCTCAATGTATTAAGAATGTATGAAAAACATCAAAATTCTGTGAAATCTCATTTTATGCTAGTAATACATATGCAGTAGTGTTTTTTGTGGCTTCTACTGACCTCTCTTAGCTACATGGATATATGCACACAACCATTTACTGTTGTGTGAATGTATGTACACTGACAAGACACATGATTATGGTGCTGCACATTTGGTTTCATATTTTCATGTTCTCTCTCACACTCTACCTTCAGTACTTATACATGTACTTTGTTAACATTTACCACATCACATTATAAGCTGGTTTAATAATTAAACCAGCAGATGACATTATAGCAAGCGTTAAACATGTAATTCTTAAGTACAATCTTTTTGAAAAGCCAGGGTATACTTGATAAACTAATTCAACAAGTAAAAGATTTTCTCCACATATTACACTGCTTGTGGGTAGATTTATATAAATGCAGTATAGATATTTGGCTATAGAAGAGTATGGATAATGTTTATACTGCATGTACTACCAATCCGTCCTTATCAAGCCAATATATTCCACTGTGTATAATAAATAAATTACCATATTTACATGATTATATCAACATACTTAAGCAATTCTAATTGGTCTGTTTTATATTGAAATCAAATTGAGCAAATTCTCTTGTTTTCTGATCACTTTCAGACTTACAATTTTGGTTTAAGGAGTGTCCCCCAAAAATATACTGAATCATAAATGCAAATATGTTTCATAGAGAATAAAGATAAAATACAAAACTTTCATGCAATCAGGATTTGAATGAAGCCTGATACTGGTAATGCCACAGTCCAGTTTGATACAATAAATACATTCAGTCATTCTTTCAAATAGTTTCAGATTACATATTACATCTAATTAAGTTTATATAGTTATAGTCAGCATCAATGAAACATGGTAAATTGCAATGAAATCACAAATGAGACATTTCACACAACTCCAAAATTTACACAGCTGTTTTCTGCAATCTGCAAAAGTAGTGTAATACACATAACTTAAAACAAGAGGCTCTTACGCTGCAGGCATTGCATGAAATGTTCTGGAGAAGAAATTTTTAACGATTTTTTTCTATCTCTGATTGTGGCCACAACAGGATGATGCAAATTCAAAATTTCAGTGATAATCTGATTCTTATTGTGGCCCCAACCTTGCTCAGGGGGTCATGACCTGAAGAAATTTGAATCTAAACAGCATGGAAATGTTTGTTTACTAATAAGGTTTATTGCAATCTTTTTGTTCTTGAAAAGATTTTTTTCCTAAACATTCCAACATAAACTTTTGTCCCCCTCCAGTGGCCACACAGTGGTTCCTGAGAAGAAATTGAAAGCAAAATAAGTTGATCACAAGATATGATAACCAAATTTTTATCAGAAAAGCTCACTTAAGCTTACAATGATTAAAGAAATGATTGATTAAAGTATCCTGTGCATGTAGAGTTGATCTATACTTATTACAGGATAATAATGCAATTTAAAATTTACATATGTTGCACCTTTTACTCATGATTACGTCATTGGAATGCTTAATTTCTCAATGCAATGAAAACTGTGTAACTATCTTAATATAACATTTTTTTGTATCCATCATATTCCCAATTAAATAAAATGCACATCCCTTAAACAATAACACCTTCCAATTCTAATATAAAACAGTTGGACATTGTCAAAAAAGTACCTCTAATAGACTTATTTCTAATGAAAGACAAATAAAAATATTTAAACATTACTGTTTAAAAGAACTAAAGAAAATATTTTCTTGTGGCAGAATCTCTTGTTGTAATGTTTACATCTAATTACAGCTATCATGTTTCCTCGGTGTCTGGGTGAAGTCGCTCAATCTCCTCGGATACAGAAGATTTGCTGGAATGTCGGGTTTTCACAATAGGGGTTGTTTGGTACATCACTCCTCCCTCCATCTTACAATCTCTCATTCCCTCACTCTTTTTATTTCGTCTATTTCTAAGCCTGTTTAAAATATATATAGGCCTATATATAGTTATAGTTATAGTTATATATATAGTTATATATACATGTATATAGTTATATATAAACTTTGTATTGCATCAATCTTTTTTTTTTATATGAAACAAACAATGTTCCGATATATCTTAATTCCTTTGATATTTTCATTGTTTCTAATTTAAATAGACAGTATCTCAGCACACAAGAGAAATATATTGGGAAATCAAGTCACCTTGTTGACAGCACTGTCCTACCTTTAAAAAGTTGGATAAATTTCCTGCCCAGAACACACATTATATATACTGAAACGCAAAAGAAATGCAACATCCTATTTTAGGGGGAAATATTATATGTAGGATATGATTTTGTATCTAAAATGTAAGGACATCTTCAACTTTGTAAATATCGGTAATTTAACGGTTGAATGATTTTCATACCATAACCGGAAGTTAAGTTTGAGTCCGCTTAATACAAATCAAAAATTGCATGTTTAACAAAATATTTGGCAATAATATGGGGTTTTAAGAATTTGTATCTGTTCATCATAAGTAATGAAGCAATGTTACGAAAAATAAGTTCTCCTTTCTTTTCCGTAAGCGATGCCAAGGCTTCCTAAAAATGACTTAAGTACGCATTTCCATTGCTCTAGCTGGAAAATCTCAAAATAAAGATGATGGAGAGTTGCAGATGCAAATATGCAACACATCACGCCTCAACAGGCTCTTACGTATCATTAGCATGAATGACGGTCCTTGGACCGGAAGTCCAAGGGTTACTACACTGCGCTTGGCTAGAGAAAATTCGACCTCATCATCTGAAAAACAGGCATTTAAAAATGGCAAAGAATATTTCTTTCGCTCAGATCTCGAGATTGATAAACCTACTGCATCATAAAAAAATCAAGCTGCAACTGTTGTACATGGCAGTCTTGCACACTGTAATTGAATGGCCGGGGTGGGGGGGTTTTAACATTCATGTGTTACTTTCTAAAGTTAAAAGATTATAATTTAACATTTTTAACAAATCTCTGATGTTTATAAATCAAGTTTTACCTTACTGTATTCATTTTTGAAAATCATTAGATAAAAAATTCAAATATTTGTAGATTACCGCTTATGTTGCGTTTCTTTTGCGTTTCAGTATATATATTACTTGGAAAAATTTTTATCCAGTAACAAAAGCATTGTCCAAAATTCAGAAATTCTAATGTTTCTTGAATAAAGGTCCATGACACAGAGTCAAATCATATACAAGATGTCTGTTCTCTCCAATATATCTCCCCTATATAAAACCTGTCTGATCTGAAGTTACTATTTTTAGTTAAAACTTGTTTTAATCTGTGTGCTATGCATCCTGATTCAATTTTATAAAATAACCAATAAACTTTACATGAATACAATGTACCAGATATCAATTTTGATTCAAATGACTGTATATCTTGCAAATATTAATTCTTATTACTTGAAGTTCTACACTTTAATAACTAAATTAAACAATAATTATTGACAAAATCCTACTTTTTTGATAATTCTACCTTTTCTTTCTAATGGCAATCCCCACAAATACAGCAACAACACCAAGAAACAACAGAGCACAGGCTATCCCTGCATATGCCCCTTGAGAAAGATTGATGCTATTTTCAGCACTTCCTGTTTTATGAATAACAGGTGATTCATGTTCCAAAGCAGCAGTTTCATATTTGATGACATCTTTTGGGTCAACAATGAAGTCTTCATCAACATCTTTATCTGAAACAAAGGCAAAACAAATATTCGAAAATACTCAGGTTACAGACATTATTGACAATAAAGTGTATACTGATATTTATAGAATGCATTTACTTTTTAAAAAAGTAGTAAATTACATGTATATTAGCTGGATAGGTATCTCTAGTGAATATAGATAAAATTTATCATATGCATTTTCTGGTACATGTACATGTATATAAACAAGAGGCCCAAGGGCCTTAACGGTCACCTGAGTACAATACAACAATTTAGAGGATCCATAAACTGAAAAATGAAGCTTTGTTGCCCAAAAGCAAGAAAAATAGTATGATTAGCATCAACAAAATAATTGGTCTAGTATCTATCTGCCTATCTGACTTTCCAAGTCATTAAATCTATGAAAGTACATTTTCATTATACAATAAATTATTTTGCATAATTCTCTTATTCTATTAAGCTTTCAAATACATTATTTACATTGATTAATTATCAAAGGTGAATGGCAAAGGGGAATAACTTTGCTCAGCAGAATACAAGTTAATAGAGCCCTGGCCAGGACTAGAACTCTTGACTAAATGGTCCAGGTGTTCAAAAATCTGGTAAAAATACCCTTGCATATTAAAACTTTTACTCTGTTTGCCTTGAACATCCCCAGAAGCATAGATGATTTTCAAAGAAATGCATTTTCACCATAAAATTAAATAAATAAAGTCCCATCCTTACCCAGAACATCTGACCCATTGGCCACGAACTCACAATTCTGGAAGAAGCACCCTTTCTCATTATAACTATACACTTGTTTCTTTACTTTATAACCAGTAGTAGAAAAAATATTTTGAAAGAAATTATGCATTTTCACTATATATAATCAATAGAGCTCTTTCCCCCTCACCAGAACCCCTGACCCAAAGGCCATGAGGCATTCTTCCTTATCATAACCATGCACTTCCTTTGTTTGAAAAATACCCAGGCGCACACAAGATTTTGAAAGAATTCATGCCAATTCCCTATCTAATCAATAAAGCCCCGCCCTTACACCAGAACCCCTTACCCAGAGGCCATTAAATTCATAATTTCTGAGGCAGCCATGCTCATCATAACTATGTACTTAGTTTATTTAATATCCAGGAGCAGAGAAGATTTTCAAAGAATTAATGCAATTTTACTATATAATCAATGGAGCCCATCCCTAACACCAGAACCCCTGACCCAAGGGCCATGAAACAATTTCTGAAAAGGCAGTCATGCTCACCATAACTATGTTCTTAGTTAGTTTATTTAATACCCAGGAGCAGAGAAAAAGATTTTCAAAGAATTAATGCAATTCTACTATATAATCAATAGAGCCCTGCCCTAACACCAGAACCCCTGACCCAAGGGCCATGAAATTCAAAATTTTGGAAGAGGCACTCTTGCTCATCATAACTATGTACTAAGTTACTTTATTTAATGCCCAGGAGCAGAGAAGATTTTCAAAGAATTAATGCATTTTAACTATATAATCAATAGAGCCCCACCCTAACACCAGAACCTCTGACCCTGGGGCCATGAAATTCACAATTTTGAAAGAGGCACTCTTATTCTTCATAACTATGTACTTAATACCCAGGAGCAGAGAAAATTATTGCAATTCTACTATATAATCAATAGAGCCCTGCCCTAACACCAGAACCCCTGATCCTGGGGCCATGAAATTCAAAATTTTGAAAGAGGCACTCTAGCTCATCATAACTATATACTAAGTTAGTTTATCTAATACCCAGGAGCAGAGAAGAAGATTTTCAAAGAATTAATGCCTTTTCACTATATAATCAATAGAGCCCCACCCTAACACCAGAATCCCTGACCCTGGGGCCATGAAATTCATAATTTCAGAAGAGGCACTCTTGCTCATCATAAATATGTACTAACTTAGTTCATTTAATATCCAGGAGCAGATAAGAAGATTTTCAAAGAATTAATGCATCTTCACTATATAATCAATAGAGCCCCGCCCTAACACCAGAACCCCTGACCCTGGGGCCATGAAATTCACAATTTTGGAAGAGGCACTCTTGCTCATCATAACTAAGTACTAAATTAGTTCATTCAATAACCAGGAGCAGATAAGAAGATTTTCAAAGAATTAATGCATTTTAACAATATAATCAATAGAGACCCGCCCTAACACCAGAACCCCTGACCCTGGGGCCATGAAATTCACAATTTTGGAAGAGGCACTCTTGCTCATCATAACTATGTACTAAATTAGTTCATTTAATACCCAGGAGCAGATAAGAAGATTTTCAAAGAATTAATGCATTTTAACTAATGTATATAATCAATAAAGCCCTGCCCTAACACCAGAACCCCTGACCCTGGGGCCATGAAATTCACAATTTTGGAAGAGGCACTCTTGCTCATCATAAATATGTACTAAGTTACTTTATTTAATACCCAGGAGCAGAGAAGAAGATTTTCAAAGAATTAATACATTTTCACTATATACTCAATAGAGCCCTGCCCTAACACCAGAACCCCTGACCCAGGGGCCATGAAATTCACAACTTTGAAAGAGGCACTCTTGCTCATCATAACTATATACTTAGTAAATTTATTTAATACCCAGGAGCAGAGAAGAAGATTTTCAAAGAATTAATGCATTTTCTCTATATAATCAATAGAGCCCCGCCCTAACACCAGAACCCCTGATCCTGGGGCCATGAATTTCACAATTTTGAAAGAGGCACTCTTGTTCTTCATAACTATGTACTTAGTTACTTTATTTAATACCCAGGAGCAGAGAAGAAGATTTTCAAAGAAATAATGCACTTTCCCTATATGATCTATATAGCCCCACCCTAGCACCAGAACCCCTGACCCTGGGGCCATGAATTTCACAATTTTGGTAGAGGACTCAATGCTTATTACAATGATGCCAACAGTTTGACTGCTTGATGTCCAGGAGTAAAGAAGAAGATTTTTAAAGATTGCATTATTTTTGGTGGTTTTAGCCCCACCCCTCAGGCCCCAGGGGGGCAGGGACCATGGAATTCACAATTTTTGTTCCCCTTCACCCATAGGTGCTATATGCCAAATTTGGTTGAAATTGGTTAAGCGGTTTCAGAGAAGAAGCTAAAAATGTTCAAATGTTAACACACGACGCACACCGCACGACGCACGCCGACGGACGAGAACGGATAGCAATAGGTCACCTGAGTGACTCAGGTGACCTAAAAATCTCAGACTTGATTAAATGTCTTTATTCAACATAAACTCAATATGTTCATGTATTTTTAATGTTTAATATAATACAATATAATACATAGAGGATATTCAATGTTTTGTATGACTTGTATAATAAATCAAGGTAGAAGTATATATACATCATACTAATACCTTGATTTATTATACAAGTACATGTACATACATACATATACATGTTAATGTAAATGCCTAAATATTTTGTATTCAATTTCTAAAATGAATAAATAACTCCAAATATTACCTATTTAACACCAATCTTTAATTTGATGTTTCATTTTTTAAAATTTCACACATTAAAAAGAATCATAAATTTGCATCTGAGACTCACCAGTGGCATTTTCTATAATGCTCCGTAACTCTGGGTCAAGCGTTGTTTCATCTGAGAGAAGAGAAAAAAGAACAAAAAAATTGTTATCTTCATAGCAGCACCAGGAAAAATGGAAATTGTTTGTAAACTAGGCATTAAAAAATTGAAAAAAAACTAGGCATTATAAACAAGATATTTTTGTGAAACACTGATGCCCCAATACAGCAACTCAAGGTTAAGTTTCAAGTTTTTTACAAATGTAGGTCAAACTCAGAGGTCAAGGTCAGGGGGTCAAACATGTTAGTACCCAAAGGAAGGTCTTGTCACAAGGAATACACATGTGAAATATGAAAGCCCAAAAAAAAAGAAAAGAAATATGAAAGCCCAAGCACCAACCATTCAAAAGTTATGGGCAAAGTTAAATTAATTTTTTTCAAAAGTAGTTTATAATCCAAGGTCAAGCTCAAAAGGTCAAAAATGTTGGAACCCAAAGAAAAATCTGATCACATAAAATACACATGTGTTATACGAAAGCCCAAACACCAATTGTGCAAAAGTTATGGCCAAGGTTAAAATTTGGTAAAATTTTGCAAAAGTAGGTAAAACCCCAAGGTCAAAGAGTCAAATGTGTTTGTACCCAAAGAAAGGTCTTGTCACAAGGAATATACAAGTGAAATATGAAAGCCCTATAGCATCAACCATTCAAAAGCTATGGGCAAGGTTAAAGTTTTGTTGACAAACAGATTGCAAATCTTCAATTATGGAGGAATTAAAAAGTTCACTTAAATCAACAAGAGTTACATTGTTTATCATAACTATGATTTATTTTAATAAAAAATAATGCAATCTTTTTTTTTTTTATCAAATATCTTTAAAAGAGAAAATGACTAGAAATATGTCCATTAAGATGAATGCCTCACCCAGGGTTCATTAGTAATACAACATGAAAATTTGTATTACCGGTACTGTATGAAGTTTGATGAAAATATCTTGAATCGTTTCTTTAACACTGAGTTTAATATACAATAAATGGTTAAGTCAAAGGTTAACGGGAAGGTCAAGGTAATAATACCAGTGTGCGAAATTAACGGTAGACCGATAGACAAAATCTATAGAAAATGCGTCCGGTCTATAGCAAGGTGAATATCTCAAGACCGATTTGTCTATAGAGTAAAATTGGCCGTTTTACTCAATACAACTTTTCAGCCAAGGAAAAACTTAAGCTTCAATGCTCTATTGTTCATAAACATATGATAAATCTCCTTCATCTAATCCATTTTGCAGTACTACATGTTTTATTTATTCCTGTAGTATCTGTGCGACTGTCCCGTGGTACGACTTACTGTCTGTATTACTTCAGACGGCGGGACAGTCGTACGGACCTCTTCTACACGTGGATGCCGAGCTGACAGGACGTGTCAGGGACAGCAGCGGAGCGGGGAGTCGGCCCGGGCCAGAACCTACGGATCTGTATATGTGTTTGTATATATAGTTAATAAATATTTGTAAAGAACCATAAAGACTTTACTGGCGCCCAACTCGCGGGGCCCGGGAGATTCCCGTACTGCTGTCAAAGTAAATTTTTTTTTCAGGCATCGTTTTAGCCGCCATTTTTGGTGCTGCTAGGTATATGAGAGCACGTGTTGGTTTTTTTTATGTATTTTTTGAATCAACTTTCAGAATTAATTTGTATTTTCTGTGATTTTATCTGATTTATTGTGATATTTTATTATGGATATGTCGGTAGAGGAAGCCGTGTCGGCTTTAGGCCTGGGCACTCGCCCGGCTGACAGGCGGTCAGACAATTTCAATCTTCGTTCTCCGTGTAGGATGGGGGTATACCCCGGGGAGGGGAGTTATTCACCATACGCTTATAGCGGGAGTGAGCATTTTGCCTCCCGTCACACACCTTTTGCTCAGTCAATGTCAGGCCACGTGGGAGGGGGGTTGCCCCTGGGGGGTCCCTGTACACCTATGCCCGGCCTGCACTCGGGCATCCCCTGTGGGGAGGGTAGTGTATTACATGGAGAGTCAGGAAAAGAGGCAAGGTTTGCCCAGCCTCAATTTGGCTCACCAGGGATGATGTCAAGTGATTCCCTGGTGTCCTCTCTAGGTAGCCTGTGTAGGTGTAGCTCACCTGGTAGCACTGTGAGTTGTACCCACCCTAATCAAGAATATAGTGAGGCCCCTTCAAATTCAGGGTTAGAGCATCCATATTCTTTAGGGCATGTGCATTCAGTTAGTAGCCACCCTGTCCTTGTGGGAGACACAGCTAACCTGGGGGGCCCTGCTACTATGGGTTATAGACCAAGCCGCTTGGGTGAGGTTGTACCACACCCACTTGACCCCGCCCTTCCGTCCCATACACCGTGTGTTAGTCAGCAACCCGAGAGGCCTGTGAGGCCCGCACAGCTCACCTCCGAGTATGATCGTCAACATGTGAGGCCCGTAGATCCTGTAGGGCTCACCTGGGACCCTGCACCCATACAGAGCCAACCTAGACTAGCAGATTTTGGTACATCCTATTTCCCTGGGGATGATTTGCGACCCCGGAGCTCAATGCCATGCACTATATCTGCCCCAGCCCCTGTAAATTTTGGAATGTCACCAGCAATAGTTCATTCACAAGTAAATGCTTTAGACACTGGTGTGACTGCTGCCAGACCCCAACCTACATTATTGTATGCTAGTTCCACAAGCACACCTTACCATGCGCCCCAATCAGTGTACATCAATCCTGGGGGTAGGCATGCCCAACCCCCAGTACCCGACCACTCCCATTTGTGTTGTATTGAGGCGAGAGTACTCCAGCCACACTCCATGCTATGGCTATGCCCAGTGCACTGCAGCACCATAGTGTTCCTGTGTCAGTGACTTGTAGTCCTGCCCATCCCGATACCCCAGCCTGCCATTTTGGAAGGGAGGGGGAGAGGATAGCACATGTTCAACCTAACATGTATGGGGCAGCCCATCCGGGATACTATGCTAGTCAGTCAGTCCCGGCTAACCAGGCTTGCAACTTTAGCACACCAATACATTATGGCTCACCTGGTTACCAGGGCACCACACCGTACCCAGCTAGGGCAGCCACTGGGGGTAAGCCCCGGTATAAGGACCTTAGGTATGATGGTAAGACCAGCTGGAAGGCATTTTTGCATAAGTTCGTTAGGTTATCTCGCAGCCAGCTATGGACAGAGGAGGAACAGCACGACCAGTTTTGTTTCTGCCTTGAGGGGGCAGCAAGCGAATACTATACCTTGCTGTTGGAAACCAGTAGCCAGCTCCGCCTAGGTGAGATCTTGCAGAGATTTGAGAAGCGTTTTGGCTCCTCTGCCCCCGATCTCACTCATCAGCTCAACTTCCAGGCTGCCAGTCAGAATCCAGGAGAGTCACTTCGTCAGTGGGCTGACAGGGTGCTGATTTTAGCAACTCGAGCCTTCCCCTGTGTGCCTGATGTACACACCCATGCTATACCTTGGCTGTGTTATGGAGCTGAGGACCGTGACGCTGGCCTCTATGCGCTCGACGGGCATCCCCAGACTGTGGAGGAAGCCGTGGAGCGAATGCTATACTACCAGCACTCCCGACTCCACAAGCCTAAACCATCGAGGGAAGTAAGAAGGCTGGGTTCTGACCATGACACTAAGAGGGATGATCCTGGGATGGGAAATGTGGATGCTAGGGAGGAGCTTGAAGCTCTCCGGAGCAGGATAGAGAAACTTGAGGAGGCCTTGAGGCAGAAAGGATATGCCCCCTTTCCGAAACCTCGGAGGGTTGGTTCCCCGCCATCCAGATGGACGGCTCATAGGCGGAACCCTTCTGTGTGTTTTAAATGTGGAGAGGTGGGGCATTCCCGTAGAAATTGCCCCACTCGAGCTACAGGGAAGACAGTAGCCACTGATGGGCCGCGGGGCGGAGCCCGGATGAAGGGACCCCTTGGTGAGAGATTTCGTAGGCCAGAGTCCCAGGAGAGGGGAACGAGGAGTGGAAGGCCTGGATCCCAGGGAGGGCCCTCCCAGGCAGTTCAATTTATGAACCCAGAGCAGTCCCCAGAGAGGACAGACTCGGAGAGTAAGGAGCAGGGGGCTAGTCTACCCCCCTCCTGTATGCGGCGCAGGCTAAGAGTCTGCTTCGAGACGCCCCATTCACCAGAGCTATTCTCAGCTGAGGAGGAAGAGGCATCCTTGGACGAGGAAATGGGGAAGCTTGTGGCTCCCCACTCCACTCCGGAGCCACTTGGACCAGCCCGGGATAGGACTAGGGAGTTTCAGGTCTTTGGGAGGACCAGCCCTGGTAGTTCTGATCAGGTGTCACCCGAGAATGAGGGGAAGGAGACCTGTATACAAACTGGGCAGTCACGCCAATCTCAAGGTTTTGCTGTTAGCCTGTGCGTGCCATGCCTGGAAGTAGAGATAGTGGAGGAGTCTCTATTGGATTCTGCAGTTGAGGATATCGGTGTTACACCTCTCTCCCCAAGACCAGCCCAACCTTCGAATGAGGCGGCCTATGGTCAAGTTTCTGTGGGATCACTGAGTTCTGTGGACAAAGGCCCCACCCTGGAGGTAGATATAGATGGGGTCACGAAGGACCATGTTGCGGAAGTGGGGACAACCCCATATGATTCTGGTAGTCCCTTGTCGTCTGACAGTGCGACACCAGAGGAGAACAGTGCATGTCGTTTATACAGATCAAGGCGGAGGCGTGGGCGACGCCGGAGGGTGAGTTTACCCTCCAGGGCCTGATGGTGTGACTGGTGTCACAGTTTCTCAGTAGTGAGTGGGCCTGATGACCTTGGCCCACTGGGTTATCGTTAAACAGATGTAGGATGATTGTCTGGGAATTATCCCGGACATACCACCTGGTTGGGAGTAATCCCGGACTTGTTACCTAGGATTAATCCTGGGTGCGGTTTTGCCTGGAGCTTGCTCTGGCACTTGTATTCCTTGGGCAGTTAGCCCGGGAGGGTGTTTACAGCGCCCCGACGTTGGAGATGGTTCCGGACCCTCTTTCCTGTGGTAGACTCCAGCCTTTCAAAGAAAACAGGGGGGAGTGTAGTATCTGTGCGACTGTCCCGTGGTATGACTTACTGTCTGTATTACTTCAGACGGCGGGACAGTCGCACGGACCTCTTCTACACGTGGATGCCGAGCTGACAGGACGTGTCAGGGACAGCAGCGGAGCGGGGAGTCGGCCCGGGCCAGAACCTACGGATCTGTATATGTGTTTGTATATATAGTTAATAAATATTTGTAAAGAACCACAAAGACTTTATTCCTAAAACGATCGTAATTTTTTTTGTAGTCCGAATTTCCTCAATTCCTCTGTTTATTGTAGATACGTGTAAATATCCCAGAAAATTATTTCCTGACTCAGTAAACCTAAAAATGGGTATTGGTTTGATTTATATCACTTAAAAAATATAATTAAAATACATTTTAAATTCTAACATGAAAAAAAATTGATGTTCACTCTATAATCTATAGGTATGCACCTTTGCAAAAGGGGATAGAAAGATAGTTAAAGTCAGTGATATTTATGCATGACTATTGATTAACTAGTACATAAAAATGATAAAAAAATCATCTTCATTTTCAGCAATATGCTTAATTAATTGTTTAAACCAATATGGCAAATGAAAAAAAAATCCTAAGAGCTGAGAATTTTTTTCTTCAACATGTTACAGTAAACACATTTTTTTTGCCTATTCACACAAGTTTTCATTAACAAAAATTGAAATCTTCTTAGAAATTTTAATGTTCCCTGCATCTGTAAAATTCAACATAATAAATTTACTGTTCAAAGTACAACCCCCCCCCCCCCCCTCCCGTAAAATCGTTTCTTAATAATCATGGTTATAAACCTCCATGTATCTTATGCCAATTCATAAATAATGCAGTGTAGGGAAAAAGGAATAAGCAATTGAAAAATATACAATTAAATAAAAAAACAGAAATATAATTTTTTGGTCTATAGGAAATTTCTCAGGTCTATAGAATTTCAATGTAGACCAATTGTCTATAGCTTAAAAAAAGTTAGTTTCGCACACTGTAATACAGGACACAGTTGATAAATTCTCATAATTAATGTATCAGTGCATATGCTTACATAAAAATATCTTGAATAGTTTCTTTGAAACTGTTTAAGAAAACTGAGGTCAAGAACAAAGGAAAGGTCAAAGTCAAAAAATATTAATGAAGGTGATCAGCTCTCCTCAATATATATAAGCATATGAAGTTTGATAAAAATATCTTGATTTGTTTTTTTTGAAACGTAGCTAAACACAAATTTGAGAAAAGTGAGGTCAAGGTAAAAGGAAATGTCGAGGTCAAAAATGTTGATCCAATTGAATAGCTCTGATCAATATGTATCAGCATATGAAGTTTGATAAAAATATCTTGAATAGTTTTTTTAAATTAACACACTCATGCAGTCAAGAAAAAGGTCAATGTCAAAAATGTTGATAGCAGTGAATAGCTCTCATCAATATGTATAAAGCACACAACGTTTGATAAAAATATCTTTAATAGTTTCTTTGAAACTGAGCTAAATGCAAAGTGTGACAAAGACAGATAGAAGGAGGGAAGCCGGACATGACAAACACTATATGAACCTGCCATATTCATGGCGTGACATCATAAATATTTTGTGACATTCAAAGTAAACTTTTTGCATACAAGATAACTTGCTTTGAAGTCTTTTTGCTAAAGCTCTGATAATCTGTAAAATCCTCAGTATGTTGATGTTGAGTAAAAATTACACTTACTGATACATGTATTGTTGGGTGTTCTCACAAACCCTTTACAACATTCTGTTGATTTGTAGTAAAGAATTTTCGTTGAGTTCAGTTCCTTTTTACAGTAGGTTTTTCTGTGGGGAAAAAATTGCACGTTACAAACTTACATTGTCCATATGGTAACAGAGAAATGAATTAATACTTAACAGATGCAATACAATGTATGGATATACTAATGCTTGTAATTATTTTTTTTTTTATTTTTTTTTTATATTATCTTGAAGTTTCCAATGATTTCTCATCTTCTCAAGCCTTGGTCTTGAGTCCACATATACTGTAAAATCACATATTTATTGTTCTTTTTTAACTAACCTGTACATAGTGCAGTATGAAATACTGAACCATCCACAACTTGCTTTGATTTTCTCTGTACATGGAACAGTTACAATGTCAATAACACGTCTTCCTTTAATATAAACACACTTATTGTCTCCTAGACTCTCCTCTTCCACGTCACTGAAATAACCATTTTCAAATGTAAAATTAAACTCAACGGTTCTTCTAGTAGAATTGAACACATTTTGAGTTGTTTATCATGTACACGTAAATGAACAAAATATTGAATGTATATTATTCTTTCATGAAAGCTTATCCAAAATTCTGAATCCTCCAAAACACTTATGTCCTGATTGCAATACATGTACTGCATATTAAACAGAGAACAGTGTTCAACAATTTGTCAATTCTTGCAATATTGATCAGCTGTTGATCGAGGAAACGTTGGCGAAACCAGTAGCAGTGTGTGATATTTCCAATCTTAATCTTCTTACCTCAAGACTTCTGATGTGAATATCAACAGAGTCCAAATCAAACAGATGGAGAATCCGGATGCTGATACTATCTTCATAATGTCCCTCTTTCGTCTTTAGTCTGTTTCACTAGACTTTGACCCTTCTCTGTGTTTACATTTTGTGAGCGATATCATGTGACCCTTAAATCAAAATCAGTTAAACGTTTCTTCTACTGTTTTAAATGCAGGGAATCTAACAAGCTTATTTATAACTAAGAGTAATGGACAACAAAAAACCCAAATTCTCTAAACACTTTCCCGGAAAAATATACAATCCATACAGGATATCAGAAATAATTAAAAAAAAAAGTAATTTGATTAATTGATTGATAATTTCCCTTCTTTTGCAGTAGAAAAAAGCGTTTCTTGTTGTGGTATCCCCTTCCATTCAAAATTCATACATTCAGGCGTTTTTTTTTTTTTTTTTTTTTTTTTTTTTTTTAAATAAGACGGGGGGGGGGGGGGATTTAACAAGCAAGATAATAACTAAATATCTAAATAAAGAAAGAAAGAAAAGTTCCTTTAAAACCTATTTCGTGGTGCCTGGGTCATTTATGACCTAAAAAAGAATTGAGGGTCCAGTCATACTACAACAAAGGGGGTGTATTTGAATAAAAATTACCATTTTAAATAAATTCACAACATCATAAATTTTCAGATAAAACATTCGAAGTTTTTTCCCTGTATTTTTTCTTCGTGGTTTATTATCTTAATAGCACTGGGTCTTTGAGAATAAGTAAGTAAAGTAAGTAAGTAAGTAAGTAAATTATTTATTATAGTGACATGTGTATTATACAGTAATACAGTGTATTTTACAACAATATACTTAGTTTTTTTACACGCGGCCCAAAGGACCTATATGTCACTGTTAATATTTTAACAATATACATATATACAGGCACATAAATGAAGATAAATTATATTAGAATCGTCTTTTTGTGAAGTTCTGACGGGTTTTAAAAGCATCAAATATAAAGTTTGCAGAATGTCTGGGAAATTTACATAAAAAAATCTGAAAAGAATGTATCATTTAAAGACAAATTTGACAAATTTTTAAAACCTATTTTACGAAAGAAGTCTATCCTTTTAATTTCATATAATTTACAGTGTAGTAAAAAATGTTTTTCATTTTCAATTTCGTTATTTTCGCAAAACTGGCAAATTCTGTCTTTGGGTGACTCAGATTTATAACGTCCAGTTTCAATTCGAAGTGGTAATACACTGCATCGAAACACTACCGTAACTGATTGGACAGGTTTGAACGTTTCGATAAATCCATACTGACGTACTGCTACAGTTCATATTAAATTTGATTTTTAAAAAGACGTTAAGTTCTTAGATTGGAATTTTTTTGTAAATCTTCAATTAATCCATTGTGTTTTAATTTTCCGACAGAGGAGTCTTTCGGCAGGTCTCAAATCTCAAAAGAAATAAAAATTAATTTTATATGCATGGAACAATTAACATTTTGACTGGTCGATAACCGTGGTGTGATACCTGGAATATGTAGGGTATGGTATTAAAATAATTGCTCATATTAAAGGAAATTAATGCTATAATTATCGACAACATCCGAAGAAAATATTTGTATAAGTAAATATTCTTATTAGATCCGCCTCTCTAAGATTCTGCAATCATGCAATTGTCTGGAATCAATCTATAGGGAATATCGGTGAATAGCGTTAATAGCACCTTTATTGTGTTCAGCTCAAAGAAAATCGTAAATAATTTCTTGGGATGCAACATCCACAACTGTACCTGTCCTGACAATTCTAGAAATTTTACACCATGACTGTACCGGTTTTTGATTGACAACATCCACGACTGTACCTGTCCAGTACACACACTTTATTCTAAATCCATGACTGTGCCTGTGCTTATAAACAACATCCATGACTGTACCTGTCCAGTACACACACTTTATTCTACATCCCTGACTGTACCTGTGCCTTATAAACAACATCCACGACTGTACCTGTGCAGTACACGCACTTTATTCTACATCCCTGACTGTACTTGTGCCTTATAAACAACATCCACAACTGTACCTGTGCATATATACATACTTTATTCTACATCCCATCCCTGACTGTATCTGTGCCTTATAAATAACATCCACGACTGTACCTGTCCAGTACACACACTTTATTCTACATCCATAACTGTACCTGTGCCTTAAAAACAACATCCACGACTGCACCTGTCCAGCACACACACTTTATTCTACATCCATGACTGTACCAGCGCCTTAAAAACAACATCCATGACTGTACCTGTCCAGTACACACACTTTATTCTAGATCCATGACTGTACCTGTGCCTTATAAACAACATCCACGACTGTATCTGTCCAGTACACACACTTTATTCTACATCCATGACTGTATCTGTCCAGTACACACACTTTATTCTACATCCCTGACTGTACTTGTGCCTTATAAACAACATCCATGACTGTACCTGTGCAGTATACACATCTAACTCTTACATCCCTGACTGTACCTGTGCCTTATAAACAACATCCACAACTGTACCTGTGCATATATACATACCTTATTCTACATCCCATCCCTGACTGTATCTGTGCCTTATAAACAACATCCACGACGGTACCTGTCCAGTACACACACTTTATTCTACATCCATAACTGTACCTGTGCCTTAAAAACAACATCCACGACTGTACCTGTCCAGCACACACACTTTATTCTACATCCATGACTGTACCAGCGCCTTAAAAACAACATCCACGACTGTACCTGTGCAGTATACACACTTTATTCTACATCCATGACTGTACCTGTGCCTTATAAACAACATCCACGACTGTACCTGTGCAGTACACACACTTTATTCTACATCCATGACTGTACCTGTGCCTTATAAACAACATCCACAACTGTACCTGCGTATGACACACACTACATCTATGACTGTACCTATGCCTTATAATCAAGATTTACACACAATAAACTTCTCAGGGTTAAAGAGGTACGTATTGTATACACTATCTGGACCATCCTACCATAAAAAACAACAATATTATTTAAACAATTTTATTTCACTCACAAATTTTGATCTTTAAGTGTGTACTTGAATCTTAAAATTTGACCAGGAAAATCAATTAGAATCAAGTTCGAGACACAATTAATCATTGTACAGGTGGAAAACTCAAAGCTATAAGTCAACATATAGCCAATTACTATTATTAATTTTAATTAATTTTAATAAACGTCTGTCGTATACGTTTGACGTATAATCAGTTGTAAACTATGATAATAATTCCCCGCAACTTTGGGGTTGGCACAGAAGAAGGTGTAAAAATGTTTTCATAGTTGGAAACATTTTAGGATGGAATAGTGCATTTTATCGTGTTAACAAAGAAAGACCTATGGAAAATAATTATTGCAGTACATGTAATACTACATGTGTCTACACATCACAATTCAATGTTTAAATGGCATCCAAAAGAATTTAAAAAAAAAAACAAGAAGTCTGTGAGCCAATGCTCACTAGTAATACCCCCGCTTTGACGTGAATGTACACAAGTTCAGTTAGGGACAGACACAAGAATGAACAAGAAGTTGACATCAGATTCGTACAAAAATGAATCCCACAATATGGCATGCCTAAACAAAGAGTGTGCTAAAATTTCAAGCATCTGCGATGAGTAGTTGCTGAGAAAAGTGTGACGAAAATTTTGTTACGGACAGGCAGACAGACAGACAGACGGACAGACAGACAGATGGACAGCCAGACAGACACACAAGGGTAAAACAGTATACCCCCCTCTCCTTCGGAGAGGGGGTATAATAACCCAATGATGAAACATGACATAAACAGGAGGGGAAAATGAGGAAAAAGTTGGATTTTTTTTTCATGTGCTTAAGAGCCCTCTATACACTGCACACTAAAGAGTTCTAATTTTGTGGTACATTTATGCAAATAGAGTAATCTGCCCTTTCAACAAGAACAAGCATTCTGAGAGTATTGCATTAGTAATACTAGTCCCCTACCGGCAAGTGTAATCTGGTTCCCGTTAAAAATTGAAAATGCCATATAATTCTGTCAAAAATCAATGAAGCGGAACGAAATGCAAACTTCATCTATAACTCATCAAGGTAAAGTCACATACCAAAAATCAGCTCAATATCTGCAAACGTTTAGAAAAAAATGCGGGAAATCCTGAAAAAATGAAAAGGTCGTAATTCCGTCAAAAAGCACTGAAGCGGAACGAAATGCAAACTTGATCTGTAACTCATCAAGATACACTCACATGCCAAAAATCAGCTCATCAATATCTGCAAGCGTTTAGAAAAAAAGTGCAGAAAACCAAGTGGGACAGACAGACAGACAGACCGACAGACGGACGGACAGACTCAGAGGAAACCTATAGTCCCCTCCGGTTTCACTGTCAAACTGTCCGCCTAGCTGTCCCTCTGTCACTCTGTCCCACTTGGTTTTCCGCACTTTTTTCTAAACGCTTGCAAATATTAAGCTGATTTTGGTATGTTAGTGTGTATTGATGAGTTACAGATCAAGTTTTAATTTCGTTCTGCTTCATTGATTTTAGAGGGAATTACAATCTTTTTAATTTTTAAGGGTTTTCCACACTTTTTTTCCAAACGTTTGCAGATATTGAGTTGATTTTTGGTATGTGAGTGTATCTTGATGAGTCACAGATCAAATTTGCATTATGTTCCGCTTCAATGAATTTTTGACAGAATTACAGCATTTTCAATTTTTAATGGGAACCAGATTACACTTGCCGGTAGTGGACTAGTATTGTTAATACAGAAAGCTTGTCTCAATGGCTTTAATTAATACGCATGCTTGAGTGTACCATATGATAGCGAGAATGATAGTAAAATTCTGCCACCTATCGCAGAGTTAATTTAGAAAGTTGACATATTGGAATGATTTTTTCATATTTATATACCGAATATTTATGTGAATTTTATCAAAAAACATAACTTACTTGGGAAAACAAAGAGAGATAAGTCTATAATTTTGGTAAAACTTCATCTCAAAAGAAATCAACGGAAAATATTTTTATCCCCCCCCCCCCCTCACT